ATGAGCCAGGCAGGATGGCACCTTCACACGCCCCACAGCGAGTGGGCTCTGTGCCGACCAGTGTCCAGGGGGGGTGTTGTGTGTGTGTGTGTATACACCCCACAGTGGGTTCTGCCCAGGCCAGCCTCCAGGTGGTATGTTATACGTGTGTGAATACATGCAGACATACATACACGTGTGTATAAACAAGTGTGAGTACGTATGCACACACACCATGGGATGACAGCAGCTACATTTTTTAATGCCCAGTTTTCAAGTTCTCCTGGAGCCAATTTTACCAAAAAGGAAAGGAGTTGTGAGACTTTTGAAGCAGAGGCAAGGCAGGCCCTGTGCCCGTCGGTGAGCGCATTGGGGGGGGGGTTCTACATGACTCCTAAGTCAGCCCTGAGCGGTGAGAAAGCTCAGACTTTGTCCAGGTGGCTGAGAAGCCGCATCTTGAACCTCACTTTGCCTCTGTGTTGCTCTAGACCTGTTATGACCACGTTCTGGGCCCCTCATGGGGACAGGGAGAGTCGGTGAACCTTCCCTGCCAGGCCTGTGTCTGGGCTGAGGATGGTCAGCTGCTATGACCAGTGTCCCTCACCTCCCTGCCCTCTGATCCCTTCCAGGCATCGACTACAAGACCACCACCATCCTGCTGGACGGCCGGCGTGTGAAGCTGGAGCTCTGGTGAGGAGCTGTGGGTGGGTGGGTGAAGATCTGGACGCTGAGGTGAGCCTGCTTCCTCAGTGAAGCGTTCTCAGGGCCCACATTAGAGAATTTTCCAAAACAGTACAATGTGGGTGTCCTGCGGCTTGCTTCCTGTGACATGCTGCTTCTATGGGTGGGTGGGGGGGGAATTGGATTTGGCCGTCCTTTCTGGAACAGCATGCTGCCTAATCTCACTGCATCCGGCCCTGGGGGGTGGGGAGGGGATCCATGGATTGGATGAGGATGGATGGTGAGAGGGTCCTGGGGGCCACATCTCTTGCTGACGCTCCCCTTCCCCATACATCTCAGGGACACCTCGGGGCAGGGCCGGTTCTGCACCATCTTCAGATCCTACTCCCGGGGCGCCCAGGTAAGTAGTTCTGTGTTTTTGCTTGGCTCATGCGCTCCTGCAAACCCCACAGGCACGCTCCCTTTCTGAAGATGACAGTCTCATTGAGAGCCCTCCTTGTCAGGGGACGTGTCTCCCTGGACCCCCATGCAGGGAGCTCCATGTGGTCCAGCTCTCTGGGGGTGGCCTGCTAAGCATACAAGCTGCAGACAAGCCAGGCCCATTTCAGGGCAACCTTAGAACATGTGTTGAGGGGGCAGAGCTAACAGCTTGGGGGTCGTGTCTGATGAGATGTAGCCAGCAGGCCCCGCTTTCTCACTCTGCTGCGATGGGTGTGAGACCCAAGCCACCTGGTGAGTCCTGTTCCTGTCTGACCCCCATGGAGGCCCAGACGTGGGGCAGAGACTCCTGCTGGTACGAGCCCTGGCCAGCTGCTCGTCCTCACAGCAACTCTGGACCCACACGGTGGTGTTATGTATATGTGTGTGGGCCTCACTAGTCCTGTGGACTCATTGGTTCCTTCATCTTTGATTTTCTTCACTCTTCTGTGCTCTGGACACGGAGAGACCAGTGGCTGCACCCTAGATGCCCGCTCTTGAGCTTTTAGTACCTGGTCAGTTAGCACATCGGCTTTGTGGACTGTGTGAGGTCAGCTGATCTTGGTGTCCCCCCCAAGAGCAGGCCCACCGACTCATCACCCGTGTTCGTTTTTAAACATCATGTGTGTCATGCTCAGGAAACAGAGACAAAAGCATAAACGAGACAGTCACTCTCCGCCATCCCCCCAGACTCTGGTGTCTGTCTCTGTGTGCTGTCCCTGTGTATTGGTCATTTTTTCTGAAAGCCACGCTACGTGTGGGACCTGCACGTTACCTGCATCTTTCTATGCTTGGCAAACCACTTGAAGAGCCAGAGAGGTGTTTGATCTCGGTTCTAGAGGCCAGGAGTCTGGATTCGGGGTGACAGCAGGCTCTTCTCCCCTGAGGCTCTAGAGAGCCTTCTCACGCCCAGCATCTGACAGTCCGGGTGTTCCTGGGGCACCGTGTCTGCGGCTCTGTCCTTCCTCCTTTTATAAAATGCCACTCAGGGGTTAAGCTTAGGGTCCACCCTATTGTGATTTCCCCAGACGAGGTCACAGTCAAAGGTGCAGCGTTAGGACGGAGACACACCTTTTGAAGGGCTTCTGCTCCACCCACAACCCTTCTAAAGTGTTATTGGTAATGTCCTCGTGGTGTATTTGTACGACTTACTCAGTGGGCCCTCATGACAGACGACGCTGTGAAGGACATCCTCTGGGGCTAATCGTAGGCACACCCACAGTGATTTCTTAGAGGCGGTATGACCGAGTCAGTGAGTGGGTTATATCGGACCCCATCCGGACACCATGTACCCCAAGTAGCGAGACTTGGTGATTGGAGAGGTGCCTTCTGTTGTCTGGCCTGAGGTGGTTCTCATCCTTTTAGTCACCCCGCCTCAGGGAGTCACCCCGCCTCAGGATGTCCGCCAGGTCGGTGACAGTGGTGGACAGTCCCACCTTGGCACAGTCTGAGCCAGAGCTCCAGGTGTTTTAGGATGGTAGGAAGGTTGTCACTTTGAGGTGGGAGCGTTGTCTACTCTAGTGGCACTCGCCCTCCCCCCACTCCATAGGGGTTTTGTGGGACGAGGACTGAGTGGTTTGCCTGCTGGATTCTGCCCCTGGAGTGGGGTTCTGGGTGCATGTGTGAGGCATTGACCACAGTACACTGCGTGAAATCCAGGGCAGAGAGAGGCATAGGCCCCGAGCTCTGCTCCAGGCCTGAGCTCAGAGTAATTGGTCTCTGAGGGACGTACTGAAGTCCCTATAGCATCCTGTCTGCAGCCAGGCCTTCAGCACCTGGTGACTGACTATAGGTTCTGCCTCCTCTTCTCGGGGAGTGCCCAGGAGGCAGCACTCACTCTGGACCCCTCACACTGAGGGGAGTGGGCCTTGCCACATATGTACGGGGGCGGGGGCAGGCACAGTGCCTGAGCAACCCCCC